AATAATAATAATAATAATAATAATAATAATAATAATAATAATAATAATAATAATAATAAATGGGACAAAACTGCACCAAGAAGCATCAGAAGTTTCAGCCAGCCTCTTTCTACAGCATGACCCTCAGTCCATAGACCTTCTGACAAACACTTCAGTGTTTGAGCCATCACCACTAAACTAACAGCATCCCCCCAAAACTGGTGTCATTCCAGGGACAGCTGCTGCAGACCTGAAGCTCATGAAATAGAAAGCTTGCAAGAAATCCTGGAAAAGAAGACAATTTCCAGGAAGAAAATGCCTCTGCAACGCTTTATTGTAGGTCCAAGCCTGGAGCTGGCAAGTTGTGGCTTCTACAGTACAAAAGGCAAACTGGAGAGCAGAATTTAATTCATGACAGAGATGAGCAGTGAGGATTACATTCTTCCCTCCACCTTTTCACCACACTGGTCTCCTCCTGTTCCTCTCCTCATTTATGCATTGTTTCACCCATGAATGTAGAGGAATCTGGATGCTATTGCATCAGATTTTTTTCTCCTCGAAAATGTTATGTTCTTACTGAGTAATTTGTGAGTTATGCTGTCTCCTTCCTCAGCTGAATAGTTCTGAAAAAAAAAAAAATTCATGAAATCAGTAGTAGGAAGGAGCTTTTCACAGAAGTGCTGCTTTTCAGTTGAAAATGGCTCTTCTGGGAGACAAGCTGCGGAAGGGCTGCTGCCAGTGCCTGGATCCTTTCGCCAGGAATGTCTGCATCTATTTTCCTATCTAAAGCATCTCTGAGGAGGTTTTCCAGGACAATTATTAGCAGCCTCTGCACATCTGGCCAGGCCAAGCCAGGCACTCGCAGGGACAGAGCTTGGTGTGCCCAGACCTCCTCTCAATCTTGCGGTGTGAGCCTTGCTCTGCACCTGTTCCCATCTCAAAACCCCCACTTCTGGCCATGCATTTGTTATGACAAGCGCAGAAACAATTTAAAAGAGACCAGAGTTAGCTCAAAACCTGCTTGCCGAATGCTGGGGTTTTGGGTAAGTGGTTAGTCCCGCCAACAAGGTTCCCATGAGAAGCTTAGAATGGATGTTGGCTACACGAGAGTGGATGTTGGGATTTGAGGTGAGCTGGAGGAAGTTTAAAGACATCCAGATACAGCGGGGAGGTGAAGGGGAGAAGGGAAGGAGGGGACAAGCTGGGCATCCAACCTGAATTACCACCCAGCTGCCATGTGATCCCGGTGACTGCGGGATTACTCAGCACTGGCCGGGAAAGCAGGTGTGGGCCACACCATCCCTGATAGAATCTGTTTCACATGACAGTTGCACAGGCATTTTATTTTGTTAGGGAAGATCAGCCCAGGCGGGAATACAACTTTCTGCTGCAGAGCAGCAGAGAATAGGGCAGAAATTCGAAGAGGGCAAATTTAGATCTCCAAAAATATCTTGAAAAGCTGTTCAGGAATTTTACCAACCAGCTTTAGTGTTTGATTTTAGACAATGACTGGCCAAGAGAGACCAACCGTGCACGTAGCAGGTCACCAGGCAGGAGACCTTCTGTCTGTGGGTCCCTGAGACAGTTTGGAGGTAGGAAGCACATGAGACTGATTTTAAGAGTTCGGTTGGAAGGGCCAGTTAGGGCAGCCACTGGATGTAACTGGCAGATCAGAGTGCAGGATAAAGGTGCAGGATGAGGGAGTAAACAACCAGAAGAACAAGCCCTGGCTCACTGCAACTTGCCAGTATTTGCACCCAATACAGATGTTTGTATTTATGAAGGTATGGGCTCCAACTACAACCTCCAGACCCAGCTCTCTGGCCAGGCCCAGCTCCAATTTAATCTCTGGTGCATTCACCAAAGATTAACTTGATAGATAAAGGTGGAACTAGAAATATTTGAAGCCTGAAAACCTGTTAGGGGGCTTTTGTTATGGAAAAAAAATCCTATTAAAACATGAACAGAAAAAGCAAATAAAAAAAAAAGTCCGATGATCCACTCAGTGGATTCTTGAATTCTTCCTCTTTTCAGAGTTCTGAGGTTTGAACATTAAGAACAGTTGACTGTTTGAATCATATAATGCAATACCTGTTCCTCTGGCTTAACGTTACAATATTTCCCACACCGCAGGATTGCTTCACATTATTCTAAGAGGCAGTGTCATTTTCCCTGCAGTGCTGGGTCTTCTTTACTGAGGCGAGGACACTCCTACTTCCTTTAATTATATGTTTTGTTTTAAATTAATGTCCTTTATTCTGGGGATGAATCACCAGCTTGTAGACAGGTAAATGTGGGAGTAAGAGAGTGAAAATATAAGTTTGATTCCCAAGGTGGGTGTCTTTAATTAAAACGGACATCAAGATTCAGTCTTCCTTCCCAAACTTACCCCACAGATTGAAAAACTTTGGGCTCCACGTTCCCCTGCACGTCTCTCACTTTCCTCCTGAGCCACGTCCCGCCCGGTGGGTCCCCTTTGGTTTCATGTGTGGATCCCCTATCCCGTCTGTACCCTCACAGTTGCACAGTAAAGTTGCAAAGTAAATACGCCAAGACAAACTTTCAGGGCCCCATCCCTGCACGAATGCTGGGGAGAGAGCGCTGGGTTCGCTGCACTGTGGATGTTCTCAGCGGCGAGGAGGGAGCCCGGAGCAGTGCCGTGTCTGCTCCAGCTCCTCATCGCTCGGCCCAGGGCTCGCCACTGGAAAGCGGCTCTTTGCACGTCCTTGGGGACACTTCTGCCTGCCAGTGGGATTTACCAAATCGAGCACGGGATGGAGAGTAACGGGATCCGTCTTTGGTTTGCAGCTTTCCCCCTGCTTTACCAAAAGAACTTGGAAAAATCCCTCCTGCCTTGATTTCCACAAGGGTAAAACGAGACCCAGGGGGATCTGTGCCCAGTCCCGCTGCCAGCCCCGGGCAGTGCCCCGCTTCTCCGGTGTCAGAGCGGAGCCCAGGCCGGCTCGGCGGGAGCAGCAGCCGAGCCGGGCACACTCGCGTCCCCGAGGCCGAGCGCTGACCGCCGCTGTCCCCGCCGGACCTGGCCGCGGCCAGCCCCGACCTCCCGCACCTGCGGGCCCTCAGCCGCCCCTCCTTCCCTCCCTCCCTCCCTCGCCGGGTGTGTTGTGGGCGGCCCGGCGGGCACCGCACCGCACCGCACCGGCGCACCCGCCCCAGGAGCCTCCTCCGGGGCCGGGGCCAGCAGTTGCCGAGCGTGCGGCGTGGCAGGCGGCCAGGCGGTGACGCGCCTGTTGCTATGGGATCCACCGCCCCTATAAATAACTGAGGAAAGGAACTTTCCTAAGTCAGAGACTTTAGGACACGGGACCCAGAACCAGATGGTCCGGAGGAGACGCGCCAGCCCCCGCCGCAGCTGCCGGAGCGGTGAAGCCCCGCCGCGCCGCAGGGACTGATCCAGCCCGGGTGGGCAGCGCCGCGGGGCCGTGCCCACGCCAGGGACTGCGGCAGGGTCTGGAGCCCCCCACCCCGACGGCGGCAGCTTGACCCTCTGCCGGGGGGGGCCCCCTGCGTCGTTTCCTCCTCCCCGCATCCCCCTTTGCTTTAATGCAACGCCTGGTGGCCTGGGACGCAGCATGCCTCCCCATCCAGCCGCCCGCCTTTAAATCCATGGAAGTGGCTAATTTCTATTACGAGGCGGACTGTCTGGCTGCTCTCAACAAGCTGCACCCGCGGGCGGCCGGGGGCCGCTCCATGACCGAGCTCACCGTCGGGGACCACGAGCGAGCCATCGACTTCAGCCCGTACCTGGAGCCCTTGGCATCGCAGCCGCCGCCTCCCGCGGCAGCAGCAGGGGGCAACTTTGAGCCTCCGTGCAGCAGCGGCGCCGGCCAAGATTTCCTTTCCGATCTCTTCGCCGAGGACTATAAAGGCAGCGGCGGCAGCAAGAAGCCCGACTACACCTACATCAGCCTCGCCCGGCACAGCCACCCCTGCGCCAGCCAGAGCCACAAGCCGGGGGGGCTGCCGGGCTGCTTCCCGCCCCAGATCGTGGAAACCAAAGTGGAGCCGGTCTTCGAGACCCTGGACTCTTGCAAAGGGCCCCGTAAGGAAGAAGGGGGCGCCGGGCCGGGACCGGGGGGCATGTCCTCGCCCTACGGCAGCACCGTGCGCTCCTACCTGGGTTACCAGTCGGTGCCGAGCGGCAGCAGCGGGAACCTGTCCACCTCGTCCTCCTCCAGCCCCCCCGGCACCCCCAACCCCTCCGAGTCCTCCAAGTCCGCCGCTGCCGGCGGAGGCTACTCCGCCGCCCCGGCGGGCAAGAACAAGCCCAAGAAGTGCGTGGACAAGCACAGCGACGAGTACAAGCTCCGCCGGGAGAGGAACAACATCGCGGTGCGCAAGAGCCGCGACAAAGCCAAAATGCGCAACCTGGAGACGCAGCACAAAGTCTTGGAACTGACGGCCGAGAACGAGCGGCTGCAGAAGAAGGTGGAGCAGCTCTCCCGGGAGCTGAGCACCCTCAGGAACTTGTTCAAACAGCTGCCCGAGCCACTGCTCGCCTCCTCGCCTCGCTGCTGACCCCCGGCCGGGCGGCGGGGCGAGCGGAGCCGCCGGTTCCCGGCCCCGCTCCGCGCTCCCGGGGCCGGGGCGAGGGGGGGCGAGAGCCCGCGGCGGGCGGGCGGGCGGGGTTGGTTTTAATTTGTGTTGTTGCTGTTGGATTATTTTTTGTGTGTGTGTGTGTGTCTTTACAGACATGTTGGCGGAAGGCTCCGCCGCCGCGCGGGTTCTGAGCGGGGTCCGGGGGCTGCGGGGGCGCGGGGGGACCCCGGCCCCGGCCCCGGGCGGGCTCTGCAGGCTGCTGGGCGCTGGGGTTATTTAAAAGAGCGAGAGGAGAGCAAGGGCAAAGTGATGCAATCCTTTAAGCATGGCTGGGAATGCTGTGTACATGATGCAATCTCGTGTAACTGTCAGTCATGGATTGAGTAATCTGTTAAAGATGTTCTTACAGTTTTTTTTATTATAAAGAATAATCTATTTCTATAAGAAAATACATATGTATATTTTGGGATCTATGCATTCTTGCTACATTTGAAGCATTAATGAACAATTTTAATAAACTTTATGACTAGGTTAAAAAAAAAAGTAGCTTGTGTTATTTTGAAGGCACGTTTAAAGTTAGCTTAAACACAGGGTTGAAATTCCAGCTGATTCTGGCTCATTGCTGTGATCAGGGATAGGGATTTTTGTTGGTCTTTTAGCTTTCTCTGACTCAGAGAAAGGAAAAAAAATCAACAACCAAAACCAAAACCCTCAAGAGAAACCCAGCAAAGAGCAGAGCTGGAAGCTTTAGCCAGTTCTTGTTGCCTCATTTTATTTCCTCTAATCACTTGGTTTAGCTGCCACTTGGGTGTTGTTTGGGGAGGAGGTGTTTGTGTTGGGGTTTTTTTTGCACTTCATGCTGTTCTGAACGTGTAGAGCAAGATGTGCTATCCAAACCATGACCAATCCTTGGCAAATAACACCAAGTCTGAAGTGGGAGGGAGGAAGAAAAAGTAAGGGAGGAAGCTTTAAATGAGTTTTTGTTTGTGTTTGGGTTTTTTTTCTTTACAGAGTTTCTATTCTCAATGATTCAGCATTTCTTATGTTTGTAGTTTACAGGAATAAACATGAGAAAGTAGCATTTCTGTTGGATGTCGGTAATTTCGGTCATTGCTCAGGAAGCTCCCATGAGACCTGGCCAGGTGAGAGGCTCCTGAATAACCTCCTTCCCTTTGCTCTTGAGACATTTTTCTAAAAACTGCAGATAGAATTCTCCGATGAGGAGTGTTTGCTTCTGTGTGTGTGCGCATTTTCTGGGGGCAAGTGATGGACAAGTGGGGGGTGGCAGAGGAGGAGGAAGTTTGTAGCAGGCCAGAACTTTGTTTTGGAGAGATCCAAGGCTCTGCCTGCTGCTGGAACATGTCAGCCCTGCTGGGGCTCCCAGCTCTGTTATTCCCCACTGTGTGCTGCCATGTCAGGGTCTGTAAGAAGTGAACAGTCTCAGGCTGGTTATGTGGAGGGAGAAGGGCAAATGATCATGTCTTACTCAGCATTTTCCATTTTCCTGTTAGGCCAAATTTAAACGTGAATTTTTTAGATCCCGATTCCCTGTGCCTGGTAAAGAAACTCCTTAACTGCCTGTGCTCTGACAGCTCAGCACAAAAGGAATTTCCAGTATAAAGACAGTGGCCTTGAATTTGCTCCTATACATTCCAATACAAACAGCAGTGGGCTGCAGGACAAATCTGCAATTTGCTGCTTGTTTCTAGTCTTTCTTTAAGCAAAACATGTTTTCTACTGAGAGAACTGTTCTGCTTTTTTTGACTCTCAAGATCAGAGCCTCCTGCAGGCCCATCAGCTGGAGCTCTCCCTGACATTTGTTACACATTCCCTGCGCCCCCAGGAGCCGTGCAGTCGTGAGCAGGACACTGTTGGTCCTGATACAGATTTCCCCCATTTGCTTTTTGATTTGTGCAGTGCAGTTCAGCTGTTTTTATGAGACCCTAAAATAGATTTTCTTGGGTGAGCTCCTGCACCAGCATGACTCAAGTCCTTGCAGGCAAGATCGACGTTAGATCTTGTCTTGACCGTCCCTCGTGACGGTGATTACTCCAGCCTCCCGTGGCTGTTTATTCTACTATTTGTACAGTTACGAAACTTATCCACATTGTTAGATCCTATTTTCTTGTTGTGCTGTAGGCCATGCAATGTTACCCAAACTTACAAGCAGCGTTCCCAGTCAGAGCCCAGTGCTGTGGAGAGTGGAACTGCTGGAGGACTTAAGATGTCCTCAAATACTTTTCTTTCTTGCTGTCTTTCTTTCTTGCTTTCTCTCTTTCTTGCTTTCTTTCTTGCTTGCTTTCTCTCTTGCTTTCTTAATAACAAAGCTTCCAACCAGAGTTCAGTTTGTGGGGGCTGGAAGGCAGGGTAGATTGAAAGATAAGATGTACTGAAGGTATTTATATCTGTTTAAATAATAGTCCAGTTTTGGAGATAGAGCTCTACCAGGCATGAAGGAGCTAATCCCCATCCTTAAACTCTGCCTGCCACGGTGCAGGAGAGCCAGGGTGGTGTTGCTGCAATTTAAAGAATGATGTTTAAATTACTGCTGTATTCCAAAGTATCTCCTAATTAGGATTACAGATTTCTCCTTCAGGAGGAACCTTGTGCAGCAATGATTTTTTTGTCAGAAAGATGCGGGTACAGACAGGAAAATTGAGGACACAAATGCACCAATTTTACAGCAGTCTCGCAAGGAATCTGTGAAAGAGTCAGAAAGAGAATTCCCGAATCCTTCATTCTTAATCTTGTATTACCCTCATAACTTACATTGTAGGAGCTTTGTAGTACATGGAGGTCATGAAATACCCTGCTTTCTAAACCAGTATGTGAAAAAGCCCCTGTAATTAAAACATGTCCTAGAAAAAATTAGTCTCGAAAAAGTAGTTTGGAAATGAATCTGAGAAGATTCCAAGCATAGAGTAGGCAAAAGATTCCGAATACCTTTACTAATCGCAGTGGGGGAATTGGAAAATCCCTGTCCAAACAGTGGCTCAACTCCAAATATTGATTTATTTTCCCATAACAAATAAGATTCTGCTGGCCAAGAGCAGGACTTGGGACGTCTGGGCTGGTCTCTGACAGGGTCTCCTGAGCTGCTCTTGCCAAAGCCACTCAGGTCAGCTTGTGCTAGGACTGTGCAGTCCATGTGTGGGCAAACCAGGCAGAGAAGTGCAGACACCAGAGATCTGTTTTGAGTTTTATGGAAGTTTTTAAACAGCATTTCATTTGGGCTTTTTATTTTTTTTTTCCTTTCTTTTCAAATGATGTGTTACACTGGCTGATTCCTACAGGTCATTCGTATTGCTACTAAAATAACAGAGTAGAAATCAGTCTGTAAGATCAAATCCATGGCACTGACATCCCTGTTCCAAAGCACCTGGCACTGGTTTGTAAGGTGTTTGAATTCAGCTGTGCTTAGTTCTTCAGAAGGAATCATATGTAGCATTTATAAAATATATTTAAGAATACAATTATAGGTTTTTTTAGTGGTTCTTCAAATTATTACTCTCTGCTTATCTGTCCAGAGTGTAACCCTGTGCACCTCTGACATTGTGGTGTTGCTTTCCCACTTTTCCCACAGCCTTCCATTGGTAACTCTTGGAAGATGCAAGAAAAATTATGTGTCTTTCTATACTAATTGTTCTCCCTCTGTCAAATAAAATCACCCAAATTGTACCCAAGGGCTATTGGATGGGAGACTTGATCACGTTTGATAACAGTATGGTTTTTCCTCACTGGAATCCTGCAATAGCCCAAAATTAGAGCCTGAAAAAAGCTTTGTGCACAAAGTTTACCTTTGCAGTTGAATTGTGAGAACAACTGTCATCGATGTGGATGTGTGTAAAAACATGAAGTTACTCTCACACTGGTTTTCAAGCAATGTTTCATTAGCTGTGACCAGAATAAAATTCAATGCAACTCTGTATCTGCTTTAATAAAGAGAAAAGCTGTAAGGTCAAATTACATATCTTCTTTTGTTATTTATAGTGATAATGCTCAATGCCTTGCATTTGCCTGTCATTCCAATGACACAAAGTGAGTCCAAAGCAGGGCTCTGCATTCAGTTTGGGCTGGACATACATGATTATGTGGTGGATGGGGGGAATGAATTTGGAATAGAATTTGGTTCTAACTCTTTTTGCTCCCAATTTCTAATGAAAAAAAAAATTACTTCTACTCTCTTGAGTGTTAGCCTTTTTCTCTTTATGTCTTACACAAATGCTTAACAGTTAGAATTTTAGGGTGAACCTTGTATACTAATGTGGAGTGTGAAAAAAAAAATTAAACATATGCCTGGATGTTGAAAGGGTCCTGATATGTTGAATAAGAAATTGAAACAGAACTAGGAATATACTTACTACTCCCAAAGAAACAATTACGTTCAAATTCGGAACACTTTTTTCAATCTATCAATCAATCAAGTAAAAATAAAGCAAAGTGGTCAAACCATTAAACCTGTGAGGGAATTAGTTCTCTTTTGAGAGACACTCACTGAACAAACAAGTGAAATCATTAAAAGAATTAAGTTCTATTTAACTCTTTGCTGGGACCCAAACAAAATCTGAGAGTTTAATATTTGCAACCTAAAACTAAACTTTGGTAGAAACTCTACACTATATGCTGAGGATTTCTGAGGTTCCTGATTCTTTCATGTGAGCTGCAGCTGTGTTGCCCCAGACCGGGCAACAAACTGTGGTGGGTTTGTAAACACCTAAAAAGATCAGATACAGCTTGGTTTGCCATCAGGGTCATGTGAAATTTATGGTGCTGTGTTTGCCTGATGGGAACTACATGAAACTCCCGGAGACTTTCTCTGTGCAGTGATCCCGGAGCGCTGGCCCTGGGGTTTGATCCCGGCACAGCCCGTCCTCGGGAGCTGCAGCTCTCGGGCCCGGCACAGCCCTGACTCTGACATGCTTTGTTTGATCCACTGGAAATTGGAAACTCAAAAATGCCTTTTGTGGTCATTTCCCCACCTGCTTAATCTGCTCAGTTGTTCAGATGTTTTGTTTTGAATGAAAGGGTTTTCTCCCCTCCAAGAAATGCTGCAGGTTAGATCTGCCTGGATGTGAAAGCCAAGAGGGGAGAATTCACAACGAGGATAAATGAGTTAGTCGGTGAAAATAATTGATTTGCACTTACAATAGGAACACATTTAGTTCCAAACCTTCCAACTGGGTGCCACGATTTCACAAAGCAGTGCCAAATTTAACTCTCATTTGTTTTAAATTTTTAAAAAATTTATTTACTATGGAAATTATTCATATAATCAATAATAATAAATTCCAATAATATTTTCTAGCTAATTAAATGCTAAGAAAGACCATGATCTACATCTGTTTTTTACCTTGTCCTGTCCCTTTGGCTCTTACCTCTGAGATTCTTGTATCACACATTCCACAGCTATCAAAGCACCTTCCCAGAGTTCAGGGCATTTAATCAGAGGTTTTAGTTAGGTCTCATCATTTCATAAAATTTTCAGAATAAATCCTCTGCAAACTCAGGCTGGAGAAGGGCTGGCTCAGTTTAGATGGGCTCGAATGCAGACACCTCTGGAAAGAAGGGAGCTTTTGCCAGGAGGCTCTGGGAGGCTCTGGTCCCCATCCCCACACAGACTCAGCGCAACCCTTGTTTGTTTGCTATAAATACCTCGGGTTTGCCAGTCTATTGCAACAGCAGTTCATTAAGCCTGTGGTAAGGAGCTCACTGATGGTGCCTAGAAATGACAGTCACAGGAATCACAGCCTCCCCCAAACAACCCAAAAATCCCTCCGATGCCTCCCCTGCCGTGTCCCTCCTCCGGGAGCTCACCTGGGCTCTGGGGCACGGGGGCCTTGCCATACGTTTTTCTGTAAGCAAAAGGAGGAGCTTTGGTTTGAGAAATGAATGTTACGGTGACACAATGGGAAAATGTTTCAGTGCAACATGATGAAACAATTACTTGGCTGCAGTAATTCAGGAAGGGAATCACAAGAACAAGAGAAAGTGCCTGGAGCCGGTTTGCGAAGCAGAAGGAGCGCGGTGGCTCGAGCAGAAACATTGTTTTGCTGATTTCCCCAGCCTCTGCCATCCAGACAACTACTTGGGGGTGGATGTTTCTGGCAGGGATTTGTCACACTTCCCTGAGCCTAGGTGTCCTGAAACAGTAAAACACAGATTCTGTCTTGATTGTTTTTGTATCACCAAAGTCCAGAAAACAAACCAAGAGTGTAACCTGTTGAGATACTTGAGCGTGTCTAACACTCCAGTGTACAAGGAGCAGAATAATATCTGTGGGATAACTTGGCACAATGACATCAGTAGAATTATAAAAAAAAAAAAAAGGAGTAATTATCAAGGAGTTTGGTTGCTTGAAGGAATGCAAGCTGGACCCCAGCCATGAACACTTGGTGCCAGCTCTGTGAAGAGACACGACTTCCACGCAGGGCTGGTCTCCTGTTGCTGAGTAATTGATGACCACTCTGGGTGGCAGAAAACATCTTTGAGCTTAAACTTAAGAATAGTGCTGACTGTTGGGTTGAGTTCCCAAATCTGAAGGAATAGGAGAGATGGCAGAAGGCCTTGATGTCTGAGTGCAGCTACTGGGTGCAGTGCCCTTAACCCCTTTCAAAGCAAATTACAGAGCTGCAGAGTTAATGAGTGCAGAACACTGACAGAAATTAGGATGCAAGGGATAAATACTGAGCTTTGGAACAAAAGAGGCAGTTTCTGGTCCTACCTCTTCCACCAGTTTATCATATATCTTTATATTGTCTGTCAGCCCCTCAATGTAATGCATGTATGTGCAGCTCCAGTTCCAGGTGCAGTTGCCATAGCTGCAGGTGGGTCTGCCTGTTACATATTTAGATCCTGATCTTACACACGTGCTTCATTTTGTACATGTAGCTGTAGTGATTTCAGTGGAACTATTATTACTGGAATGAGAAATGATAAATGCATAGATCTGTATTTACATGGATGTATTTACATGGATCTGTATATACATGGATCTGAGACCGCGGCGTCCCTGGGAACATTTTTGTGCCTTGCTCAGTTTTACAGCACATGCCCTGGAAAATTCTAAGCACTTTAATTTCATGTGTTTTCAAATTTGAGAGAGTTACCCAGGCACATGGGTTGATTTGGCTGTTGCTTGCTGTGCTAAAGGGGATGACAGTGGCTTTGGCATTTTTGCATTTCCCAGGAAGAAAACCACAACCACCACAACACCCAAGAAGTGGGATACAGCTGTGTTCTAACAGCTGCTGTTGGGTCCCAATTCAACAAAGTACTCCAGTGTGTGTGCTACCTAGGCAGAAGCAATGCAATGCTGAACACAAGGGTTAAAGTTTCGGATGTGCCAAGTGCTCTGCTGAAACACATCCTTCGAGAGCCGGCAGCTGCCTGGCCCCGGGATTACACTGTGAGGCATGAGTATAAATACTGGGAAAGAAAACCTGATGGAAAATCTGGATGTCCAGAAAGGTGTCGAATGAGATGCACTCCAACAGGCCCAAAGGAATCCTGATTTCCTCCTACTGCGCTTCAGGAGCCCATCCAGCTTGTGCTGGCCAGGTCTGGCAGCCACTGTCTCAGAGCATGGTGTGATAGGCCCTGGCTGCTGATCAAAGGGCTCTTGAGCAATAACCCACTGCACATCAGCAAGAGCTGCTGCCAAGAACCATGGACTTCTCTGGGCTGGAAGACAACTGATAAAGTAGATGCTGAGAAAAGCAGAGATGCCTGCATTGGGCAACCTGAGTGCGACCAGTGGCTACTGGAAAAAATGTTATTTTTGTTTTAGCTCTGCAATTGCAGAAGCCTGATTTGCTAAAGGCTCTCTGTTTGTACAGTGCTTGTGTTTAGTTTTTGTTTTTGCAAAGTATTTTATTTAGATGAATAGATGCTCCCATTTTATGAGGAAATGCACTACTCCTTGGTAGTTCTTCCTCTGTCAATAACAAATATGGGTTGACTGTGCCTTTCCCCAGAATTAGGGAATTTTTCCTGTGGAGTTTGGCTCGTGAAGGATGGGGAACTCAGAAAAGATGGGAATGATGCCCTGAATCCTCTTGTCATACAGGCCTGTGTTGGTTGCAGGGAATACAGTTCTCCAGCAAGGCTGACAGATTGGAAAGGGAGTGGCAAAAAGGACAAGGAGGCAAACCTCCATGTGTGAAGGGGCCTGAAAAGAAGGAAGTGATACCCAAGAGCACACAGTTCTGGGAATGCTATTGCAAGCTGTGGCAGTGGTGGGAACCATTTCCAACAGCCACGCAATGGACTGTTTTCCCACTGATCTCATGGCAACGTGAAGTGAAAATTTCACTCCAGTGTTTTCTGCCAAATCCTTACAGGCAAAATCTTAGCAAATGGCTCCTGCTTCTGCATGAATTCACTGACAGGTGCTCCTCTGCACGAGCCCTGCAAGAGCTTTATGACCAGAGGGACACTGACTATTAAACAGCCATAAGCTTAACGTGGTATTTACTGCAGGACTGTGCCTCTTTATTGCGCAGAGAGAGGGAACTCCCTGCTCAGCCCTCCAGGTGGTCCCTCCAGGGCAGGGTTGAGGCACACTGGGAGAAGGGGTGGGGTTGGGTGGGAGAGGCTTTCATTGCTGCCCTACCTGTTCTGGGCATAAATTGAAATGATCAGTCTCTAAGCCCTGCCAATTAGGCATGCTTTACTGGCATGAGAGCCAGGCTGCTGTGATAGGGAAAATGAATGTTCTTCTCTTTTTTTAAAAAAGAAGCAAAATCCTGCTTCAGTGCACTGGAGTCCCAGAGCAGGGGCAGAAGGGGACAGTGGGGACTCTGTGGGGTGCCTGACTTTGACCAGACAAGCAGGAGCTGGGCAACATTCTGCAACACAGAGCAGCCCAGGAACATATCCCTCCTCACATGTTCGTGTACTCTTCCCAGAGGTGCCTGTGTGCCAGGGAGCCCCTGGAGCAGGGCTGGAGGATGAGTCTGGAGCCCCCCATAGCACCCTCTCCTCTGCAATGACTCCACTTCAGCACTAAAGGGACCATCAGATGTGGGGAAACAAAAATAATGGTAACCCTTTCCTAGTCTCCACCTCCCAACTAAGTGCTTGGGAGAGCGAAGTGAGATGCTTTTACAAAATTATGAAACTGCTAATCAAGGCAGTACCTGTGCTCTCAGGTAGTGCCTTCCTAATCTTCAGATCCAGAGGTTCCTACAATGAAGAAGCAAAATGGGCCTCTTAGGTCTGTCACTTGTTGGTTTCTGTAGACTGAGAAAAACACTGTTCTGTTTTTCCACACTTCTCCCTCTCAGGGTTATCTTGGTTACTATAATGGCCAGAAATGATGGGGTTGGGTCTTTTCCTCAAAGAAAAGTTACCTGTGCAGCATGTGTTTCTGCCTGTGAAAGTACAGCTGTGCTGCTCTGCCACGCAAAAGCACAAGCTGACTTCATCCTCACCTGCATTTGAAGAAGGAGACGACCGCCTCCCAAGGCTCCCCTATTCCTTTCTTGTGAACCCTTCCCACCACTCAAACATTTAATCCCTGGTGCTCCAAACAATGCATTTCTGATATCTGCATTTCAGACCTTTGCAACTCTCACTTGTTTCAAAACAGGTTTTATTCTGAGAGGGGTTTGTCACTGGCACTTGAGTATGTGGAAGGTATTTTTAGGAATTGAAGAGAACAAATGGAAAAATTAATTATCCATGTAAAAAACATTTCATAAAGTTCTGCCTTTTACTTCCTGATGTCTTGGCAACTACAATCAACTCAGCTTTCTGCATCTACAGCTTGTCAGGATCCACAGTTGTCTGCACTTAACTCACCTTCAGACACTTTTCTGGGGCAGAAAAGCTCCTTTACAAACACGGCACTGGGTGCTTCACTCCTCCACCTGCTGCTGTCTTGAGGAGAGAAGGGAAGGAAAGGTGACCTCTGAATAAACACCTCTCAGCTCATTTGTGCTCTCCTCCAGCCTCCCCCCAAGGATTAAACAGTAGCTGGGGACCTCACCAGGGCTTTGGCCCCACTCCTGAGCTGAGTAGAACCGGTGGGACCTGGCAGTGCAGGAGTGCACTGGCTGGGTCTGTGCTGAAGGCTGAGTCCAGATGGTTCCTTGCAGTCCCTGCTGCAGAGCAAAGCCCTGAATCTGCCATTGCTGCAAACTTCCTTGGGGATCTTGGGCTGGTCACTCCACCTTTCTTTGCTTCAGTTCTTTTATCTGCGCACAGACACTTCCTGGCTGTGTCTCAGGTATTATTTGTTTAAAGAAATGTGAAATGTGAGGTATGAGACCTTGACAATGCCATAGAGTAATTATTTAAAGTTTATATTGAAAGTTAAAAGTATTAATTAATTCAACAGGGAAAGTCTTCTGGTGAAAATGACTGGAAGCACAACTGTCCCTCATTCCAAGCACTTCCCAGACAGTAATTTGACCACAGAGAGTTTGGCTCATTATATATGTAAAATAGACAGATGCTATTAGAAAGTAATTTTTTTCCCTGTGAGTAGAGAAGCCTGTCCCTCCTGAGGAAATTCTCCGCGGGGGCCATATTTTTATCCTGTCTCATAACCCAAAGGTATTTAAAATCACCCACAGAATTGAATAGCATCTTCCTCCTTCTCCCCTGAAACTGAGCTCTGCCCTCACTGAATTAAACTGAGTCCTCAGCACTACCTGTCAGAGTCCCTTCCCTTTGACAGTTTGTAATTCCTGGTGTTGGTGGGTATTGTCACAGATTTATTCAGTGTGTAATTACATGTTGTTCAGGGACACCACACCATGATAATGAACCTCCACGTGATCAGGCCGGACTCGTCGGTCAGCATGGAAAAGGACTGAGGGGAGTCCATAAAAGCACCTTTAAGAGGCTGATGGAAATGTCCAAAGAAAAGAGAAATTAGCAGTGTTTTGGACTGTTTAGGATTTTGCAGAGCAGAAGATGAATTGGCACCGGAGAGAACACACCACTGGATGTCCATGGGTGGCCCATCACATTCCTTTGAGTCATCCCACTGATTCCGTGGGAGCAGGAGCAGCACGGTGGGATCAGGTTTAGTGACTTACTCGTGTGAGTAACAGCCAGGAAGGGGAATTTCCCTTGAGCAGTGCTGGGGTACCAGTGGCAAATGCTGGAGAAATGACCTTTCCAGGCAAAACTCAAAATCACATTTTGGTGTGTTATTATTTTCACTTCTCTACTTCTCGCTTTAGGAGTTTTATTTTTGCAGATGAAATGCTAAAAACATGTCTCCAGCAGCTCCATCAGAAGCCTGTATGTGCCCCAGTCTGATGATCTGAGACATCTGGCACTCACACTTGGGGCCTTCCCGCACGGCAGAAATTGCCCCGGGAAGAGAATGCGCATCTCCAACATCCAAGTGAAACAGAAATGACCCAATAGTTCCTGGTGCACAAGCCAATTTCCAAGGCCAAATCCAGCTCTCTCTTAAGTCCAGGGGAAAGGTCATTGTGAATCAGGAAGAAAATTACTGAGTTACCAGCATTGCAGCAACGGAATAAACTCTCCCCAAGGGACTGACTGTGACAGTGGGATGTCACCCCTGGCTACTGGCAGCGGTCCCCTCGTCATTACCCTCATTAAGGTGGTCACCTCCAAACAAAACAAGTGCACACTTCAGTCAGGAACATAAAAGACTTCAATTAGATTTATATAAGAGCATTGCAAAATATTGGATAATAAATGCTGCCCCCAAACAAGAGCAGGAAGATTCATTGCCCTACAAGGTTTGTCTCTGCAACGGGCACAGCCCGGCTATTTTGGGGAAATTACACCTTGCCTGGTGACAACACCTGCTCTGTGCAAGAGGAGAGGGGGTACTGCTGGCACGCTCTGTCTGAATCTGACAGCAAGGCTGAGGTTGGCACTTCACTGCATGAATCACCAGCTCCTGAAATTTAAAAGCGTGCATATGCAAATCACTAATTAACTGCATTAGCATAGTCAGTTACCCAAACTGTAATCTCAGTCGTATCTCTGAGTGAGGCAGGAGATCCCACACCCATGGGCAGGTTTGCATTTGGGAGCGTGGTTTCCCGAGAGCTGCGTCCAAAAGCTGGTCTCATAACCAATTTTTACTCAGGTAGTTCCAGGAGTGAGAGTTTGTTGAGGGGGTTCCTCTCCTGAGGAGTACTGGGGAACTGTACAAAACCAGGAGCTGGTGGGGACAGCTGAGGGACAGCTGAGAGGGATGCCAAGTCAGGCATGATCTCCTTTAATCTACTGCCCATCCTTGAGGCTCTGTCAACCCAAACAATGTGGATTTCCCCCTATTAGGAAATATTCTGACTTAGGAAAAGACCATGTGCCAGATTTTGACTTTATTTACATTGAATTGCCTGAGATTAGAATCTGAAACTAGAAACTTTCTTTATACAGTTACAAATAGCTATATTATGCAGTTTTAAGGGGTTAAGAAAAGGAGGAAATCATAACCACAGAAGTCATAAAGGCAACTTATCCCAAGCCAAATAGTTTTGTTTCTAATGCAGGGCTTTAATTATAACATGTCATATAATGATGACATAGTGCTATAATAGGCAAATATAATGCATTAATCTGATATTATATTCTGGCTTTAACAATAGGTGCAGTGAACCAGCCTTAGTGGATAACTCATTTAGAACCTATCTGCACACTCCACCTAGATACTTATCTGCCTCTTTAATTAAGTGGAGGGAAACTTCTTGAGGCCATACCCATAAAGCCAGTCTCTGATGATAGCAGAGTTACTGGAAGCCTTTGGTAATCGTTTACACCCACGTTTTGTGGTTAGCTTCCAACTTTGGCTCTTTCCTTCTCACTTTGGAACCACCTATTTATCCCCCAGCGTAAATCCCCTGCTGTTCTTGTACCAAAAGGGGCACAAAAGACCTCAGGGTTTGTTTGAGTGACACGTCAGCTCAGTGTCATTGGCCTCCTCAGGACTGAGCCAGGCTCCCTAATTGCAGCCCTGAAAAAACAGCTTTGGCAAATCTTTCACTTACCAGTGCGCTCCTTGAAACGGGAGCAGCAGGGTCCAGGCAGTGCCACCCCTCTGGAACACGAGTTCCCAGGCTGTCCTTGGAGATATGGCAGCAACCAGCTTCAGGGGGAGCAGGACAGGGCCCCCTGGGGTAAAATCACCTCTCCTGATTCTGTGGGTCCTCTGTAGCTTTGTGTACACAGTAAAACACCCTTTTTTGCCTTCTTCAAACACAAACAGTTGGGAGGATTTGCACACAATGAGAAAAAGGAAACTTTAACTAATATATTCACTTGGAGAAGGTGGTTCCTGAGTTGGGGGGCTTGCTCTCTGCTTGGGATTTGTGAGAGGAGTATCCTGCTCTGAGGCTGGAAGATACAGAAGTCATAAAGCCCCAGCATGGCAATGGCACAGGGGCAGCAATCTTGAGGCCATGTGGGCCAGCGCTCTGAGACGACAGGAGTGTCCAACAACCCCTGCAGCAGCACAAAGGAGCTGCCCCGAGGTCCCTGGGCTCCAGCTCAGCCGAGCAAAGCACACGGTGTGAGCACAACCAAAATGGCTCCACCAGCCTGCTGCCTCCTGCTCCTTTTCCTCTCCTTGGCGGTCACTTCCGTGCTCTCCTCCAGTCTTTTCCAGTGTGAAAGGTTCTGCTAATGACCCTTGAACAGACCACATTGAGAATGTCACTGCAGAGCTCCTTAATCTTACGGTGGCGCCTGGATAATATGGTGATGGGCACTGAAATGCTGAAAAACAGACAGACAGATAGTGAGATAAGATTAGATATGGAAGTAATTTAGGCAGTCATCATACAGAGCAGCTGACATAAGTTCATTTGTAAAGCCAACTGCTAAAATTGCTTTAGAAGTCCTTACATTTTAATTCTGTTGAAGGCAGACCTTTGATCTGAATTGTTTTGGTGGCATGTGCATTATTTGAATGGAACCTCACCCGGCCAGGTAATACCAGCCTGGCCATTCCTGGCATACTATTGCCATAGGAGAACAGTGTACATGCAAATCCAGCCCTACCAATAGCTTGGGGCAGGCAGATAACTGAGCATCATGGAGCAGACACAGACTGGAGGCATGAGCACCACTTTATGCTGATATGTAGAATGAATCATGGCTAATAAAAGGCTCAAACAACCATATATATGACTAAACGTAACCCAAAACACTTTTAAATTAAGCATGATCAGAAAATAAAAGGAGAAAAATTAATATATAAGTGTTATTGGTGCTCTTTTTCATTAATATTTATTAAATTACACTGGGGGAGACGGAGGAGGAAGGGGAATAAAACAGACCTCTCTGATTCACTATTGTTTATAGCCACTTTTATATTCCAGCTCTCAGGTATTAGGAAAACACTGGGATGTTTGTACTGCATTTATTGCAGGGGAAATGATTTACATTCACACGTTATGTTTTTGTAATTTGACATTAAAAAATTTTCATGACACTTCCTAGGGCAGTTTATTTTTGAAGTGGGTTATTTGTTTTCACCCTAAATCCAAGCCACGGTAGTATTCCCAGCTATAGAAAGGGCATGAGAGTCAACCTAAAAGTGTGGAGTTGGTTAGTCCCTGTGTTCCTCTGAGGGGCATTTCCCAGCACAGATACTTTGCAGCACTCAGTCCTACTAAAGCAAAAGCTGCCAAATGCACAGATGAACCACAGATAAATTGTTGCATGTCTTAATTAGTGATGGCTGAACTCTCAGAAGATTCTGTGGTTGAATTAGAATAAGCATTCAGAAAGTTCAAATGTTAATCCAAGCCTCTCTAGTTTATACTGGTGGAAGTTCCTTTCCAGAGCTGGCTCATTCCATTTTTAATATGTCCTGGTTAAAGCTGGGCTTAAACCACTGCACAAACAGCAGCTGGCATGAGAAGCAGCTCCTTCATGCCCACCCGAAGTCAGTAATTGCAGGTGTGAGCAGCAGAGTCCACACAGCACTTCCCACAGTCTTGTGTCCTCCTGTGACACTTTGGCATATCCATCCTCAGCTCTAAGGCTGAAAGGCTTGGATTAATCTACTGAGCTGTTAGAATCTGTGTTTCCTTAACATTTGGGGAGCTCAACCTCTTTGTGAAGGCACCTGAGTCTGGCCAGTGACTGCAATGAAGAAGCCAGACTCCTAATTTGAGCATCTCGTTGATGTGCCTGCACGTTGGAAGGCTCAGGGTCCAGCTGCCTTGTGAAATGCCTCATGTTACAGTGACCTGGCCCCCACAGCTGCTCTGTTATGGGATATATCCAGGTGGTTTTCCTGCCCCTGGGTGTGCTATAATGGACTGTAAGAGAGGAAACATTTCTCTGAACAAAAGTGTCCATGTACAATATTCCTACAGCCCAGTTCCCCACTGTGCAGTCAGACCCATGGGCTCACAGCAAGTCCACAGGGTTATCTGTAAAGTGTTGCCAAGCACATCTGGAACCTCCAACTCTCAGCCTGTGACTGAAGGGCAGTGCAGGATGAGGCCAGTAGCTACAAGAACTGTACTAATATGCCTAAGTCTGTGTGAGCAAACACTGGCTTTGTTATGCATAGATTTGACATCTGCAAAGAGTTGTCCAGCTTGGGAATAAATGGAGTAAGTGTGTTTTTCCCTGGAGCTCTGCATGCCAAATATGTGCTAATCAAGCAGAAAAGAATGCCACTGGCTGAGGCAACCATTTAAAAATAGGCACCTAGAAGTATTACGTAGTAAAGTGCTAAAGAACATCGTTTTAATTTCAATTTTCAAAATTGCCAAGCAGCAGGCAGCTCCTGTTTGTTTGGTTTTGGGTTTGTGTTTTTTTTTTTGTGAGAATCAACCACTCACACATTTCCGTTTAGGTTTTGGAACATGATTTTATATTCCTGTTTTTTGAGGAACATTGGCCAAATCACTGGCTGTTGACTGGAATCTTTATCAGGAAATCTGTAACTGAACATTCCAGGTCAAGATGCACAGAAACCAAAACTGGGCAGAAACTTGTATGGTATGGTGGCAATTACACTGGAAGAAGTAACACAGATTAAAAAAAAAAACAATTTCATTTAAAATCCAATTTCAGGAGAAGGGACAGAAACGTACTTTTGTGAACCTGCAATGTGTACTTTTGTATTTGCAGGGACAACAGTTCTCCTTCTCACAACACTGGGACTTCCAGAGCTTTGAATGAATAACTGTAGTTGATGAATAATAGTACCTTCAAATAAAATCTTAATTGCAAAACAAAGGAATAATAAAGAAAAGTTAATACTTTTTTATTTTATTCAAAGCTTAGAAAAGTTTAGGTTGGAGCTTGGGTGAAGGTTTGGTTGCTGCCATTTCCCCTTTTATCTGAAGCAACTCACTCAGACCTAATCTTCATCATCTAAACCACAGGATTAACACACAAAATAACTTTGGAGCAAGCCAGGTCCAAGCAGGAAGCTGCAAGTACCATCATGTCTTTATGATATTAGCCAGCAAAATAACTGTGGTTTCTTCAGTTTTTTGTTGGTGTGTTTTTTTGGTTGGTTGGGGTTTTTTTGTTTTTGTTTTAATTCACTACACTTATGTTTTCCTTGAAAGGGGTTTGAGTTTTTGTTTCTTCTTTGTGTTGGAAACTTTCAGATTCCCAATCTCAATCCTGGAGGGAATGCTCATTCCCCTGGACAACCCCACCAGCCTGGACCTTACGCAGAACAGCCGAGGACGACTCTCACTCTGCTCAGCTCTTCAGTGCAAACCAAACCCTCTGGCCAGACTGCACCTCTCCTGCCTGGTCAAAGGTAAAAGAAAGTGGCTACGACTGTATCATTGAGGGGACTTGCCCTGCTGATGTGTATTAGGCTGGTAATATTCCATCTGAATTGGCTGGACTGAGAAAATCGATGCTCCTTTACTTCTCTTGGGATCCCAGTGGGTTTTAGGTGAGAACTGTGCACTAAGCTGCTCAGATCACAGCAGTTCTGGGCATGTCCAGACATAAAGCTGCTGGTACTGGAAGAAATGTTATCCTGAGCAGGGAGGAACCTATGGAGTTGTAGGTGCTTAAGTCCTCTTTTGCATCTGGCCCTAACTTGCAAGGGAGGAAGAGCCAAATGCTCAAAGGCAGCTTCCATTTTATGGCTCTAAATTATGCAAAAAAATTATGGACTCGCTAACTTTGCACCTGCATCTGTACTGAGGTGAGGGAGAGCCTCAGCCAGGCACGGAGAGGCTCTGATACTCTGCCCTTTCTCTGCTCTGGGAATTCAGAAGGGAGGAGAGGCCTCATGCCAGCAGCAATCACAGTCCCATGTGTGTCCCACACTCCCATGCAAAGCTCCGTGGTTGGTACACTGGGTGCTTGTTGGGCAATGCCATGGAGAAGGCTGGTTTCCTTGGAACATTTTCTGTTCATTGTACTGTTCCTTCCCGGCATTTCACAAACCACCACAAAGCAGGGGGAAAAAAAACCTTCTTAAAATGAATTGTGTGTCTCTTCCCTCGCTATCCCAACAGCCTTGGCAAGCTCATAGGAGCCAGGCAGAGCTGGTCTCTGCTGGATGTTACGCTTTGCACAATTTTATGATAATTTGGGGGAGTTTGCATGATTGGATGGTGAAAGCACAAGGAGAGAAATCAGGACTCAGCCTTCATTCCTAGTTCTGCCACCAAGATCCTGTTTGTATTGGGATGATACCTAAAAACTCTTTTGGTTGTCCTATTGGCATGAACCTTGTTTTATGTATTTGCCGCTTCTGTTATTTCCAGGGCTCAAACCAAAACAATAGCAAAATGTCCTGATTTATCTGCAAAACAAACCATAAATCCAAGAACTGTGACCTCCCTGCTCTGACTCAAAGGCTACTAAAGACAATGCAAAGACATCCTCTGACTCCTGTGTAGTTCAGATCACTACACAGTGTGCAGTCCTTGAATAGATGGAAAAGAGAGGGAAGGCCACTAGAACTCAAGGAAGCTGTGGGAGAACTATGATAGATATTAATGGAACTTAAAAGACACCCTCAAGGGATGCTGGAAGCAAGACTCCTGTCAAGGCTTGGCTAGAATACACAAGTTTAGGGACAGCTTTTGCAGTTTCTTGGCTCATCCCTGGAAGAAAACAGCTTCCTGTCTTAACCTCTTAATGGGAGTTCTGGGTTTGTCATTCGCAGTACTTTCCATACCTGAAAGAACTACTCAGTTCTGCTTTCATGGCAAAATTCCCAGTGATTTCATCATGAGCACAGCTCACATCCTCTTACTCTCTGCTGTTGTGTCCTTTCCCACCTTTCCATGCCATGAGGCTTGACTTGCCAAGTCACAAGAACACTCGTGCTCCTTCTTGCTCTCTGTTCCTTTGACACAGGTAACAGTTGTTAACTCCATCTAAAGATCATATTTGTTCCTGTAGCTACCAAAACAGAAAAGGGGGAAATGAATTCAAACACTGTCTCCTTCATCCATTCAGAACATCTCCTGCTTATGGTGAGAGTGTGTTTTCTCCTGGCTTTTCCCCAAAAGCTTTCCAGTCAGGTTCAGACGGGGTTAGGGAGGAGAACAGGGCACCTGGACTGTCCTGGCTGCCACACTTGCAGAAGTAGTCTGCAAATGTAGCATGTGATCATCCCAAAGCACAAATCCAAAAAAAAAAAAAAGGAAGAAAAGAATGAACCAAAAATGTATTACTGTTCTGGAAAATGAAATCCCATGATTGCACTTGGCTGCACTGCTATTTCAGCAGTGTGATTTCCAAAACATCACTGACTTTGTGGTCCTTCT